GAAGGGAGGTTATTGTTTAGACTGAGGTAAAAGGCTAGAGAGAGAATGGATGATTTGTGGATAGGCCAAATATTGAGCAAGGGGATAACTGATGCATACCAGTAGGAGAACTGTAAACATCATTCGGGGAAGTCTTGAGACAGAGATGATGGCCTAATACTGCAGAAGAAAACAGTACGATGAGAGGTGAGGAGCAATACTATCACATCACTTTTTGTGTGTGTGTGGTATTTCAACTGTATGTTCCTTGGAACAGAACTTAAGCCTGTATCTGAAAAGCATTCAGAATATTCTGGACACCATGAATACGGTCAGTGACATATGGTCCTAACTATGAGGGAGGAACTATGTATGTAGTGGCTCATTAACCATGCAAAAGTTGTGAACACATAAGGTACTTACAAGTTCACAGACTGATTGCACATTATTACAGGTGACAAGTTGGAAACAGATTGGGTTATGAGCACCATTTAAATGGAGATGAGCTGTAATCAGGCAAATGGAAGTGAAAAAATGCTCGCTCCCAGTCAGCTAGCTTGGTAATTGCAAATGACTGAGCTCTCAGGAGAGGAGCCAGAAGTCAGTAGAGCACAAGGACAACAAGGGCTGAGGACATGGTCATAGCGACCCTGAAGACAAGGGGAGTGGTACAAAAAGGGAAGAGGAAGATAGCATGGATCTGAGTTGGTTCACCTTGGAGTTGTAAACAGTGTTTTCTCCAAAGGAGAAAAGCTGTAATGATAAGTATGTAAATCATCTGTTGTTGGACCAAACTGCACATCAAAAATGGTAATCAGTCACCAGCTGCCTTTCCCAGCTGAAGGGAAGGTCCTGGTTGACTTGTCATACCATGCTGCATACTGATCTACCAGCCTCCAAGACTTCGGCACATAAAGCCTTTTCCTTTGAAAATTGTCACGTGTGGCAACTTTTATGTGCAGTATCATGTTTCCTCTCCCTGGGGCAGAAAACACAGGAGAGGGGAGAAGTTTGTGTTTCATTACACCACAAGTAAGATGGTAGATTGCCAGCTCTTTATTCGCATAGGAAACTACTGCTGCCCCATCCCTGCCTACTCTCCAGGTGCACCTGGGCACAACACTACACCCAGCTGAGGATAATGTCCCCTTATCACTCCCAGGACAGCTGTACTGTCCCTTCTGCTCCACAGTGCCCATCCCCACCCTAGCCAAATCTGTCTCCTTTCCCCCCCACACTCCTTCTGCAGGTGGGAGAAAGGAGAGGTTGGGCCATGCTGGTATTCACCCCAAGAAGTTTTCCATACAGACAGGACATTTTGGAGCTTTGTCAGTAGCAATGAAATATTGTAGTTTAACAAGGTAGTAAAATAAATGTGTAATAGCACTCTGATTCTTAATGGGGAAACCGCATGCTGTGATCTGTACATACTGGTGAGCTGTTGGATCAGCAAGCAGAGCGTTCTGCTGCCCATGCAGCCTATAAAGCCAGCCTGGATCCTGTAGCCAGGTAACCTGTTTTGCAGCCCATGGGAATCAAAGGCCTGAACAGCCAGGAGATGAGGTCAGGTGAAATGAAGAGACTTCAGTGTTCCACTGCAATTAAAAACTCTTAGCAGTCACAAAATTCACTTATACAAAGCAGATAGGTACTCCTGTGCCTCCACAATTATGTTTTTCTCTTCAGTGTCCTTCCCTACTAGCAGAAACCAGTGCAGCTGACTTTGTATAAATTACTTTTGGTGCTGTTTTGAATTGTGTAGCACTTGCCTTGTCCTCCCCTAGCTTCTAGACAGCCAGATCTGCTTTGAGATGGAAGAATAGCACCCTCAAGAGTTGACAACGCTGCTTCATGGATCCATAGTATGTAACACACATCCTTCCTCTTTTAGTTAAATTAACTCCCTGACACATGTAACTGAAGCAATGAGAACAAAAGCTTTCTCTTGACATAAGATTTGAAATATTTGGTATCAGTCAGTGTTGTTATGAATGTGGAAATATGCATTTGTGCTTGTATGAGGGATGATCAGGTTCTAAACATTTCATTTGCCTTCAAAGAAGGAGGGACAATAAAAAAATGAAGAACTGCCTTCTTTGTCTAACTCATTTTATGCCATATTAAAACAATCTGAACAGGAATTTATGTCTTTGTGTAAAAAGAGATTATTTAAAAGTTCTTTACTTAGATAAAAGGGGTCTATGTAAAAAAAAAAAATGCTGAGCAAACCAGTCCTTCAGTTGTGGGGACTTGTTCGTTAATTACAGTAATTAGGAATGGAATCTGATCCTAAACTTTCTGATTTACTTTGAATTTCTTTTAATATGTGGTTAGGCCTTAATTTCAGAATGATTATAAAATGTGAGAGCGTTTTAAGACTACAGAGGCGTAGGTATTGTTATTAAATGACAAACTTAGTTATATGCTTCTGCTGTTTTATGCAGCACTGACCTTTTATTTTAAATGTCCATGGCCTATTCCTGTTTCTGCTGACTTCAGAATCGGATAAGGCCTTTCGAAAACTCCGAGTATAAACTGCTTACCAGCTACTATTCCAGACGATATTTCTCCCCGCAGGCAAAAAGTCCAGCTCTGGGTTTGTCCCTTTTCTGGGAACGGGTTCACTTGAATAGAACAAGCAGAATTTGGACAGTTGGGTACTGTTGGGGACATTTTACTCTCTGCTCTGAATCATCCAAAACTCGCTCCTGTCACATACTTGAGGCTTTTCCTCTATATCATGACTTTGTTCAGAGTTCTCACTAGCGTTTTGGTTATTTAGACAGTGCTGCAACTCCCCGTGGGCCACTGAGGCACCTCTGAGTGGCACTGCCGCTGCGTTGAAGCCAACACATATAATTTTAGAAAATACTGTATATAAAAAGAATTGATTGCTCTTTTTTTTTTTTTCTTCTGTTGATAGTGAAAAGTAAAAGGTATATTCTGTATTCTGTAAATTAATATGTTTCCCTGCTGTAATTACAGAATCCATTCTCCTAAGAGGATACTAGAGTGCAAAAGCCAACTGACTCTGCTGGCTTTGCCTTTTTTCGTGAAACAGAGGTTCACCTGTGCATCATGCGATACAAAGCCATGGGTTCCTGGTACATTGTAATTTTGTTCCCTGTTTAAGGCTTTGTCAATGATTCTTAATTGCAAGGAATCTGTCAAACCCTTTCTAAGCGAAGAATTTCCTGTCACAAGTTTCTGTTTTACTAGAACATCCAGAACTAAGAATTGCAGCACTTATGTTTGTTTGGGGTTTGGTGTTTTTTGTTTTGTTTTGTTTTGTTTGTTTGTTTGGGGTTTTTGTTTTTTTTTTTTTTGTTGTTTTTTTTTTTTTTCTCCAGCCATCACTTTGTTTGAATCATTTTCTCTGAAAATCTTCCCGTACCAATTTTAAGCCTGTATCTGCTCCAGCGCCTTGACTTGTCCTCTCTCTCTCTATGCCGGTTTCAAAGGGACCTTCTGGTCCAGCAGAGCTAAATGCCCGTGGGGCTTCCTAAGGCGCGCCCGGGAGGTGTGCAAGGGAGGACAGCTACCTCTGCTCTGCAGACTGCGAGGGATCGCAGCTATGGAAATTATGCGCATCCTCACCCCTCCCGAGCTGAAGCTTGAAACGGGGGCTCCGAGGAGGGCTGTGGCTTTACACAGGAGCTGCTGTAGGATCCTACCCTGCTGCCCTGGGAGAGGAGTCGCGGCGGCCGAGACGGGCGGCTCTTCTCTCCCGTCCCGCGGTGCGGGAGCACCGATCGCCCGTCGCGAAGCCGCCAGGAAGCGGAGGCTGGGCAGGCAAACAGCGTCTCCGGGGAGGTTGCCGCCGGCGGCCGGGCACACGCCCGGGTTACCTGGCTACTGCCGCGCCGCGGGGAGCGGGGCCCGGCTGTATCTCGGGAAAGGCCGGGCGTCGGTCCGCACCCGACACTGGTCGAGATCGCTGTGTGTGCATTTTGGGAAATCTGTAATTAAATGTACTTGCTTGATTCGTGCGGGGGGCAAGAGGGGTGACCCGCGCGTTTAGCCCACCCTTGTAGCGTAGGGCGAAAGCCGCGGGGCTGTCTGCGCCGGGACCGCATCGCACCGGGACGCACCGCGCCGGGCTCTCGGCCCCGGGGCCGCTGGCCCGCAGGAGGCCCGTCCCGTCCCGTCCCGGGCGGGCAGCTCCTCCGGGCTTGACGGACCAAGAACAAGCGCGGGAGGGGGGAGCGCGGCCCCCCGGCCGCTCACCCCCGAGCTGAGCGGAGCCGGGGAGCCGCCGCTGCCCCCCAAGGTCTTCGCCCCTGCCCGCCGGGAGCCATCCTCGGACGGGTCCTAGCGCCGCTCGGGACCGGGTTCCGCGGGTCCAGCCGTGGCCGGGCGAGCCCCGCGGGTCCCGCCGGTGAAGCCGGGCCGCGGTGGGACGCGGCGCAGCCCGCCCCGCTCCGAGCCCGCCCGGCGACAGGGCGCTGCCGGCAGGTAACCGCCGCCGGTGAAGCGGCGCCTTGCGTCCCGCAGGCAAACACGGCGGGGCGAATATTCCCGACTGGCCAAATAGTTGCAAGTCCGCGCGGGTGATGGTGAACTTTGAAACTTTCTCCGTAGCGCGGCCGGGGGGAGTCGCTGGGTCGGAGCGCTCGGCGCAGGGGTGGGAGCGGGCGGTGGAAATGTACCGGCCGCCTTTGGCCGCTCTGCCCCGGCACGGAAGGCGCAAAGTCCCCCGCGCCGTTTCCCCGGGCCTCTTACCAGCGCGGAGCCTCATCGGGGGGCAGAGCCCAGCGCTCAGGGGCCGGGCCGAGCTCGGGGCGGCGGGGGCCCAGGGCGTGCGGGCCGCTCTGCCCGCGGCGGGTCCTGGGGAGGGCGGGCGGGCGGCTCGGCGGGGCCGGGGCGCTAAGACCCGGCTGCGCGGTGGTCAAAGGTTCCCAGCAGGGGTTGGACACTAGAGGGCGATCCCCGGCCCTGCCGCGGGGGGGGTGTGTATATATACGGCACGCAGGACCGCGGCAACCCACTAGCAACAGGGCAGGCAGGCAGCGAGCGGGGCTCGGGCGGGCTGGGGCGGGGGACGGGCTCCGGGCGCGCCGTGCCGTGCCGCGCCGCGCCGTGCCGTGCCGCCGTTCGCCACCGAAGGCCGGGGTGCCGCGGGCTTGGTAGAGCCGCCGCCGCTGCCGCCGCCCCGTCCGAAACCTGGATTGCAGGAGCCCTTCACCATGCCCGGCAGACTGTAGGTGCTTCATGGAGCAAGCCAACTTCTACGAGGTCGATTCCCGGCCCCCGATGAGCAGCGGCCAGCACCACCAGCTCCAGACTCCCCTGCCCGGCAGCGCTTACAGCTACAGAGAGGCTCCCTCGGCGGCGGCACCTGCTGCGGGTGGCGCGGAGCTCGGCGACATCTGCGAGAACGAGAACTCCATCGACATCAGCGCCTACATCGACCCCGCCGCCTTCAACGACGAGTTCCTGGCCGACCTCTTCCAGCACAGCAAGCAGCAGGAGAAAGCCAAGGCCATCCTGGCCGGGGATTTCGACTTCCACAGCATGCATGGGGCCGGCGCCGCCGCCTCGGCGCCGGGGCACCAGCAGCAGCACCACCAGCAGCCGCTCTTCGGCTGCGTGGCCGGCTACATGGACGGCAAGCTCGACCCGCTCTACGAGCGCATCGCCGCGCCCGGCTTGCGGCCGCTGGTGATTAAGCAGGAGCCCCGCGAGGAGGAGGAGGTCAAGTCGGCGGCCCTGTCGGCCCTCTACCCCCACCACGCTCCGCAGCAGCACCCGTCCCACCTGCAGTACCAGATCGCCCACTGCGCCCAGACCACCATGCACCTCCAGCCCGGGCACCCCACGCCGCCCCCCACGCCCGTTCCCAGCCCGCACCACCCGCACCACCCCCACCCCCCCGGCGGCTTGCCCGCCGCCGGCGCCCTCAAGATGATGCCCGCGGACCACCGGAGCAAATCGAAAAAGACAGTGGACAAGAACAGCAACGAGTACCGGGTGCGCCGGGAGCGCAACAACATCGCGGTGCGCAAGAGCCGGGACAAGGCCAAGCAGCGCAACGTGGAGACGCAGCAGAAGGTGCTGGAGCTCACCACCGACAACGAGCGGCTGCGCAAGCGGGTGGAGCAGCTCACCCGGGAGCTGGAGACTCTGCGGGGCATCTTCAGGCAGCTGCCCGAGAGCTCGCTGGTGAAGGCCATGGGCAGCTGCGCCTAGCGCCGCGCCGCGCAGGGACTGGCGGGGCCGCCGCGCCCGCTGCCGGGCTGCTCCCGCTCACCTACAGATACTATGCGTTCCAGAGCGCAGCGATCTCAGATTGTTTGAGGGGGGGAGAGGGGAGGGGCTGGGGGTTTTTTGTTTTATTTTTTTTGTTTCGTTTCGTTTTTTAAAAAATTAACGACCAATACAAGAAGCCAGGCAGCTGTAGTATTAAAGGGTTTGTGCCTTAGGGATGACACACGAATAAGCTGAAAACATGGTGGGTTTTATAAGGAGAAAGGTGAGGGGAAGGAAGAAATTAGAAAGCCCACATGTCTACACAGGGTAAATAACAGTAATAATAAAAGTAATAAAGTACACGTAGCGATCCAGATGTGCCTTAAAAGCTGGCTGCAAGAGCTCTGGGGCTCTCTGTTTCCCCCAGCCTCGCAGAGTGTGAGGGAAAAGGGTGAAGGACATGCAGGCTTGAGTGATGGGGCGTCTGGGGGTGCTGGACAGGCCCCCCCCGCTGGCCTGCGGTGCAGCAGGCAGGGGCGGCTGCGGGGAGGCTGGTGAGGAGAAGAGGGCTGAGGCTGAGACGTGCAGTGCCTGATGCCCGTTTGGAGCACTGAGGTGTGGGGCAGCTGCCGGACTGCTGCCAGGACTGTCCCAGCCTGGCTGGGCTGCCTCTGCCCAGCCCTGGCCCCTGCCTTGGCTGGGAGCGGGGCAGGGGCTGCTGCCGCTGCGGGGCCGATGAACAGCCTGGGACTGACGGAGCAGCAGCTTGCGAGGGAGAGTGGTGAGCTCCCTCCATCAAAAGGAAGAGCAGTAGTGTCTTGTACTGTATGTCACGACGTGGCGAAGCACAAATGAATAAATACCTATTGATGCGGGTATTTACTATGAACTTTCAGTGTATTTTGCTTTATTCCAGGACATTGAGCTCCTCTCCAAGTCTCTGTCTGTCCAAGCTGTGCCTCATGTAATGTGAAAGCCTTTCTGTGTATACTAGCTACACTTTATTTTTATTGCATTACTTAGATCCTTGCCATCACACGACTTTCTTATCTGGTGACAGAGACTATGCCCTTGTGCTGCAATGTTATTTTATTATTTGTGTGGGTGAATGAGTGTGAGCATGTGTTGTCTTCTTCACGTTGTCCTGGGCTGGCTGCTGCCTCCCCACCCCAAGGCAGGGGTGCCAGGGGGGGCGCAGACCATGGAGCTGCAGGACGCCTGCGGTAGCGTGAGGAGGCTCATCCTTGGTGCTGTGGCACCTTTGGACTCTGGAGCTTCACCCAGGGTGAGAGAAAAATAAACAAACAAACAGGCCCCCTTCCAGGGAGCGCTGGTAGCCACGCAGAACATTTCTTCCTCATGTCGTAGCTGCACAAGAATTCGTCCAGTTGAAATAGTCATGACAGGAGAGGAGACCAAGGTGGAGACGTGAAGCAGTTTGCAAGCGTGACAGAAGGAGCACAGTGCTGTGCGTGTGTGTGTGTGCGCGCATGTGCCATGTGTGTATGCAGTGTGTGTGTATGGGTATGTATACATGTATGTATATGCACACACATTGGTGGGGTTTTTTTGAATGGGGGGAACAGCATATAAAGTTTGTCGGAAGTCCTGGTTACGTTCATAAATAAACAGCATATATTCTACCATAACCATCTGCCTCTCTGTATGTTTCCAGTGCTTTTCCTGCAGCAGGAGTGCAAAAGCCCTCCTCTGCCTCCAGACCACGCATCCCTCTCCCCGCTGGCACCCGCTTCCCCTGCCAGGACCGGTGACCGAAAAGCCTTTGTGGAGCACAACTCCCTCGTTTTCGCCCCAGAGAAATAAATACACGGTTGCCTTTAAGGGAACGGCAATTTCCTAAATACTTGTGGTGTCAGATGTGTGCCTGTGAGTCACCCTTCGCTTCACCCTTCCACCCGCGCCGCGGCTGGGCCGGGGGCTCGTCCAGCCTGCGAGGGCCCTGCCGCCTGTCCCCGGCGGGCCTGGGGACGCGGTGAGGGGCAGCCGGGAGGGACAAGGGAGGCGTCCGGCCGACGAGGACACGCAGCCCGCGGTCCCGGGGCCGGGCCCTGTCCGGCCTGGCTGCCTGCCGCCCCGTCCCGGGGCCGCTGTGGGTCTCCAGCGGGGCGCAGGCGACAAACTCACCCGGGGCACGGCGGGTGGGGGTGTGTGTGTGGGGGGGTGGGGGGGTGGGGGGTGTGTATGTGTGTGTGTCTTGCGAAAAGAGGCCGCGGGCAGGGCCAGGCCCCGCTCGCCCGCCAGCGCCGCCGCTGCCCGGGCCCCTCCCCTCCCCCGGGGAGTTTCGCCCCGGCCGGGTCGGGTCGGGCCCGGGGACGCCGCCGCGGGGTGTGGGGACGCGCAGCAGGGCGCGGGGGGGGACCGGCGGCGGCGGCCGGCCCCCTCGGCGGGGACAGCGGCGCGGCCCGGAGCAGCGCGCGCGGGAGACCGGCCCCGCCCCGCCCCGCCCCGCCCTCCCCGGGGCCGGCGGCTCGAGGAGGGGAGGTGGCGCGAGGCCCGGCGGCGATAGGGCCCCGCGCCGTGAGGCGGGAAGGGGCGGCCGTGAGGGGGGGACGGGCCGGCCTCGACGCGAGGCGGTGCCCGGCCCGGCCCGGCCTATGGCGGAGTTCCCGGGCGTCGTGTGGGGAGGTCAGCGGGGGCGCCCCGGGCGCCGCCCGGTTCCCCCCACTCCGCCGGGGCTTCGGGGCTGCGCGCCGCCTGCCCGCCGGGTCGGCGGCCTGTGCCGCGGGCGTGTGAGGAAAAACTGCCCCGAGTCCCGTTCCCTTCAGCAGCACCTGTGCTCGCCGTTTCCCTCGAAGGGCAATCCACCCGGCAGAACCGAGCTCCCCATCGCTCCCTGGCCCCGTGGCGTGTCCAGCGTGGCACATCAACAGCAAAAATTAAACGCCCCAAAGAGAGAGATTTGGACCCACGGGTGCCTCACCTGGTGATGCCCAGGCCGTGGGGCAGGCCGTGTCCTCGCAAGGACTCCCCGGGCGACTCGGCCCGGCGCAGGTGCAGCCTGCGAGGCCCTGTCACAGGGTCGGTGGGGGCAGCTCTGAGGGTGCCGAGGGGCTTTGCCCCCCCCCCCCCCCCCCCCCCCCCCCGGGCAGGCTCTGCTGGTCTGCGGAATGGAGGAAAGGTAAGGCCGCTCCTCCAAAATGCACCACGACAGTCGGTCTGCAAGCACTCACTGCTCAGGACAGGTAAAAGATGAGTGTGGATCACGACTAAGACTTTTGGTTTTGAGTTAGGTGTAAAGCAGGCAATTCAGAGCAGGTAATTTTCCAAGGGAAGAGTTAAGTTCTAGTGGTGTCGAGCAAAAATAATGACTTTTACTTGTGTTTCCTTCCTCCCCCAGCCCTGCCGAGCTGTATTCCTGTTGGGTATGATGTGCCTCACTGAGTAATGCTGTCCAACGTGTAAAGTGGGGAAACGCTGTTATCATTTGAGCAAAGATTATTGCAGGGTATATGTGGGAGGGACTGTAATCTAGTGGTTAGAGCATGGGAATACAGTCCTGGTCGTTTGAGTTATGTTCTGAACTGTGACTCACTATATGTGTGTGTGTGGTTTCAGCAAATCATTTATGGCCTCACAAAGCAGATTTTTCCTTTAATTTAAATGAACTGTAGATTAAACAGGTCTTCAGTGGCAGAAGAATCAACCATTCTATGATTCAAAATTAAGATCCCCTATCTACCACATAGGTGTTTCAATAGTTATATAAACACAGCATGCCCTGGAATATTACGAAGGGTAAATTATTGATAGCAGAAAAGTGTTTAGAGACACATGCCTTAAACACAGTGCCAAAGTGAGCAGCTTTCTCTAATCCTAACCCTAACTGTAGGCTGAGCCTTCGACAAGGCCCCCAGCCGTGACCTAGACAAAAAAGTTCTCCCATCACAGGGCTCTCTGCAGCCTCTTTGTGCTCATTGCAGCCTGTGTTTTGCTTTGGCAGCCCCCTCCCAACCCTTCCCAGCTGCAGCTCTGCATTTTCTCTTCCTCTCAACCTGAACCCTTACCCAGGCACACAGCTGAGCCTTCAACAAGTCCATAAGTCATTGCCCAGATGAAACAGTTCTCACAGAAGCATGTTCAGGGATGTTTGCCTTAACACCAGGGTCAATGTGAGCAATACCGCCACTCTCCAGTCTCATGTGTGACCCCATGCCTTGCCTGTTTCAGCAGTATTTAGGCATGCATTATAAATGCTGGGTGGTGGAAGGGATTTTTATGCACTGTCTACTCCAAATATCACAGGACAGTTGGAGCTGGAAGGGACCTCTGTGGACCACCTAGTCCAGCACGCTCACGTGAAAACAGCTGCCAGTCCACACTGCTGCAGAAGAGGAGGGCGGGCAGAGGCTGCCGCAGATGGGGCAGGTAAGTGTGGCAGGACTGTGGGCGGTGGCATTCCCACTCATTTCCCCGCACACACGCACCCCACACCAAGACTATTTTGCCTGGCTTGGGCAAGGGCTTGAGCAGCTCCAGTGCTGGGTGGGGTGCTGTGGGTGTGTATATATTCAGCAGCATTTGTCTTCACGACCGCGGGGTGGCTTTTTGGAAGTTTCCCACCGAGCCTGTTCCCTTTATACGCAGCACTGCTGTGATGCTGCCAGCCTCTGCCTGTCCTGCCACACAAGTGTGGCTGTGCAGTTCCTCCTTCTCCACCCCTCACCCTCGCCAGTCCCAGACATGGGGTTGGGGACACAGTGGGGTGAGACATGGCGATGGGCAGTGACTGAGAGGCCAAGCGAGTAATCACATGTTGGGGAGGAAGGGAGTAGTTGTCTGCTAACACTGTGTACAGAGTTGAGAGATTGCTCACAACCATAGCAAAGTCCTGCAGCAGGTTGGGGGTGGCAGAGGAATGTCAAGATTTCTTAGTGATTTTTTTTTTTTTTTCCTCTGTGACGAACAAATTGCCCCTGCAGAGCTTGCCTCATCCACCTGCTTTAGGGATTGGAGGATAGGAACAGTTTTTGGAGTGCTCCATGTGAATTTCCACACTGAAGGGAAGAAATGGAAGATACTTCACTGTTAGGAGAAAGCAGATGCTTCTCAGTGCTTTTCACTTATGATTTGAATCTACTGTTTGATTTGGGTTTGACCCAATTCAGTGGTGAGAAGAATGTCAAATGTCTAGCTGAGTAAAGGGTGGAGGAAAAGGCCCACTGCCCTCTCTTGGTATAATAGATTAAGTAAAAGATAATGTTTTATACATTGACATCTCTGGTTCTGGGCATCTTTCTTCCCCTGTAGTGAAATACATGTTTATACAAGTGAAATTGCATATAAACACACACTTTGCACAGAAATATCTATTTCAGTGTGATTTGCTGTATCATATCTGATGTAACTGCATTTTAAAGCTGAGCTAACACTTAGTAATAAACATATCACAAGAAACTTCAGAAGAATCAGAAAATCTGTTCCGGTAATTCCTTCCAGCCCATAATAAATAATATTTTTTTTTTCCTTTTTAATTGTACTACTTAGTACCTCAAACTTGGGCTATGGATCCAAAGAGAGAAAGTCAGCCCTCATCCCAAAGAGTTTACAGCTTTGGTGGAAAATCAGCATGTGCTTATAGTTTATCGAGCACCTGTATATCCAGAGTAACCCAGTTCTGTGTAGGTAGTCTGAAACAAAAATAAACTATTTAGAATACAGATTTTTTTAATGTAATTTCCATTATCGGGTTTCCTCTCAAGCTGTTCTGGCTGGGTAAAGGCAGTGTGTTTACACTACCTTGCCTGCCAAGTACTTTGCTAGAGACTTCCACAAACTTCCTCTCTATGCAGGAGCAATGGGCTGATGTCTTAAGGACTACGTGGGTATACTTCTGTAATTGGAAGTGAATCCTCATGAAAGGGAATCCGATTCATTTTTTCAAAATATTTAAGTGCAATTATCTTAGTTTAACACCATCCTATTTTACTGCAGTATTGCATCTTGCCCCTGAAATTAATAGTTAACCACGGAGAAAGACAGGTCTGGCAGAATGGAAATCAGGCATTATATTATCCCATGAGTCACATACATGCAGAGAACCAAACAAGTGTCAGCCAATGGCTTTGAGCCCAAAATATGTCAAAGAGGAGATGTGTATCTTCATTTATATTAAGTAGATAGAAAGCTTGTTGCTGTTCCCATTAAACAGGTTGGAGTTCTGCCACTGACTTCAGTGGGAACAGGATTGGGCCCAGCAGTGGAAGCTGGCACCAGTTACCTGCACTGACTGTATTTTCTGTGCAGCAGGGCAACTTACATTTTAACAACAGTTCCTAGTCAACAGACAGATTCAAGACCTCCCCTAGTTTTAGGCATTACTCCTTCCTTTATTAGTTTGATGACTTGACTTCTTTGAAATGTGAGGATGCTCAGTGGTAAGGCAGGAATGGATGCTTTTCAGAGTGCAGCTTCACTGAGAGTCAGTGACAAGCGACTGTAGAGAGGGATTAGCACAGCACCTTTTCTGAGTGGGGTTTTGTGATTTCTAATGATTTGCATTTAAAATAAAGAACCACATTTAGGAATTAACCCCACTTTAGGCATTCAAACCACTCTGGCAAAATTCCATTGGAGTCAGGGAAAGTCTTGGCTGAACAAATGCCTCAAAATATTTCAGAACTTTCTTGAA